ATTGAAAGGGGTACCATCATCAAAATTTCAAAAAAATCGACCCGAAATTACAAGCCAATATTTAAACGCAGATTTATGGGAAACTAATCCAAAAACCTAAAGAATTAAGTCTTTTCCAAATCGGATATCTGTAAGAAAAGTTATGGAATTAAATGTGCTGGTATTGGTTCACTTTTCTGCAAACATTTTTTTAAAATTTAAATTTCATTAAATCGCTTAGAAAATCTACAGAAAATCCAAGAGTGAAATTTGAATGCAGAATCGTAGATTCCTAATCCACAAACCTTAGGAGGTATGCCTTTTTAAAATCGGATATCTGAGAGAAAAGTTATGCAATTAAAGGTACTGGGTTGAGGTCAGTTTTGGACAAACATCCATTTTTGGGAAAAATTGAAAGGGGTACCATCATCAAAATTTCAAAAAAATCGACCCGAAATTACATGCCAACATTTAAACGCAGATTTATGGGAAACTAATCCAAAAACCTAAAGAATTAAGTCTTTTCCAAATCGGATATCTGTAAGAAAAGTTATGGAATTAAATGTGCTGGTATTGGTTCACTTTTCTGCAAACATTTTTTTTAATTTAAATTTCATTAAATCGCTTAGAAAATCTACAGAAAATCCAAGAGTGAAATTTGAATGCAGAATCGTAGATTACTAATCCACAAACCTTAGGAGGTATGCCTTTTTAAAATCGGATATCTGAGAGAAAAGTTATGCAATTAAAGGTACTGGGTTGAAGTCATTTTTCGACAAACATCCATTTTTGGGAAAAATTGAAAGGGGTACCATCATCAAAATTTCAAAAAAATCGACCCGAAATTACAAGCCAATATTTAAACATTTTTTTAAAATTTAAATTTCATTAAATTGCTTAGAAAATCTACAGAAAATCCAAGAGTGAAATTTGAATGCAGAATCGTAGATTACTAATCCACAAACCTTAGGAGGTATGCCTTTTTAAAATCGGATATCTGAGAGAAAAGTTATGCAATTAAAGGAACTGGGTTGAGGTCAGTTTTGGACAAACATCCATTTTTGGGAAAAATTGAAAGGGGTACCATCATCAAAATTTCAAAAAAATCGACCCGAAATTACATGCCAACATTTAAACGCAGATTTATGGGAAACTAATCCAAAAACCTAAAGAATTAAGTCTTTTCCAAATCGGATATCTGTAAGAAAAGTTATGGAATTAAATGTGCTGGTATTGGTTCACTTTTCTGCAAACATTTTTTTAAAATTTAAATTTCATTAAATTGCTTAGAAAATCTACAGAAAATCCAAGAGTGAAATTTGAATGCAGAATCGTAGATTACTAATCCACAAACCTTAGGAGGTATGCCTTTTTAAAATCGGATATCTGAGAGAAAAGTTATGCAATTAAAGGAACTGGGTTGAGGTCAGTTTTGGACAAACATCCATTTTTGGGAAAAATTGAAAGGGGTACCATCATCAAAATTTCAAAAAAATCGACCCGAAATTACAAGCCAATATTTAAACGCAGATTTATGGGAAACTAATCCAAAAACCTAAAGAATTAAGTCTTTTCCAAATCGGATATCTGTAAGAAAAGTTATGGAATTAAATGTGCTGGTATTGGTTCACTTTTCTGCAAACATTTTTTTAAAATTTAAATTTCATTAAATCGCTTAGAAAATCTACAGAAAATCCAAGAGTGAAATTTGAATGCAGAATCGTAGATTCCTAATCCACAAACCTTAGGAGGTATGCCTTTTTAAAATCGGATATCTGAGAGAAAAGTTATGCAATTAAAGGTACTGGGTTGAGGTCAGTTTTGGACAAACATCCATTTTTGGGAAAAATTGAAAGGGGTACCATCATCAAAATTTCAAAAAAATCGACCCGAAATTACATGCCAACATTTAAACGCAGATTTATGGGAAACTAATCCAAAAACCTAAAGAATTAAGTCTTTTCCAAATCGGATATCTGTAAGAAAAGTTATGGAATTAAATGTGCTGGTATTGGTTCACTTTTCTGCAAACATTTTTTTTTAATTTAAATTTCATTAAATCGCTTAGAAAATCTACAGAAAATCCAAGAGTGAAATTTGAATGCAGAATCGTAGATTACTAATCCACAAACCTTAGGAGGTATGCCTTTTTAAAATCGGATATCTGAGAGAAAAGTTATGCAATTAAAGGTACTGGGTTGAAGTCATTTTTCGACAAACATCCATTTTTGGGAAAAATTGAAAGGGGTACCATCATCAAAATTTCAAAAAAATCGACCCGAAATTACAAGCCAATATTTAAACATTTTTTTAAAATTTAAATTTCATTAAATCGCTTAGAAAATCTACAGAAAATCCAAGAGTGAAATTTGAATGCAGAATCGTAGATTCCTAATCCACAAACCTTAGGAGGTATGCCTTTTTAAAATCGGATATCTGAGAGAAAAGTTATGCAATTAAAGGTACTGGGTTGAGGTCAGTTTTGGACAAACATCCATTTTTGGGAAAAATTGAAAGGGGTACCATCATCAAAATTTCAAAAAAATCGACCCGAAATTACAAGCCAATATTTAAACGCAGATTTATGGGAAACTAATCCAAAAACCTAAAGAATTAAGTCTTTTCCAAATCGGATATCTGTAAGAAAAGTTATGGAATTAAATGTGCTGGTATTGGTTCACTTTTCTGCAAACATTTTTTTTTAATTTAAATTTCATTAAATCGCTTAGAAAATCTACAGAAAATCCAAGAGTGAAATTTGAATGCAGAATCGTAGATTACTAATCCACAAACATTAGGAGGTATGCCTTTTTAAAATCGGATATCTGAGAGAAAAGTTATGCAATTAAAGGAACTGGGTTGAAGTCATTTTTCGACAAACATCCATTTTTGGGAAAAATTGAAAGGGGTACCATCATCAAAATTTCAAAAAAATCGACCCGAAATTACAAGCCAATATTTAAACGCAGATTTATGGGAAACTAATCCAAAAACCTAAAGAATTAAGTCTTTTCCAAATCGGATATCTGTAAGAAAAGTTATGGAATTAAATGTGCTGGTATTGGTTCACTTTTCTGCAAACATTTTTTAAAATTTAAATTTCATTAAATCGCTTAGAAAATCTACAGAAAATCCAAGAGTGAAATTTGAATGCAGAATCGTAGATTCCTAATCCACAAACCTTAGGAGGTATGCCTTTTTAAAATCGGATATCTGAGAGAAAAGTTATGCAATTAAAGGTACTGGGTTGAGGTCAGTTTTGGACAAACATCCATTTTTGGGAAAAATTGAAAGGGGTACCATCATCAAAATTTCAAAAAAATCGACCCGAAATTACATGCCAACATTTAAACGCAGATTTATGGGAAACTAATCCAAAAGCCTAAAGAATTAAGTCTTTTCCAAATCGGATATCTGTAAGAAAAGTTATGGAATTAAATGTGCTGGTATTGGTTCACTTTTCTGCAAACATTTTTTTAAAATTTAAATTTCATTAAATCGCTTAGAAAATCTACAGAAAATCCAAGAGTGAAATTTGAATGCAGAATCGTAGATTTCTAATCCACAAACCTTAGGAGGTATGCCTTTTTAAAATCGGATATCTGAGAGAAAAGTTATGCAATTAAAGGTACTGGGTTGAGGTCAGTTTTGGACAAACATCCATTTTTGGGAAAAATTGAAAGGGGTACCATCATCAAAATTTCAAAAAAATCGACCCGAAATTACATGCCAACATTTAAACGCAGATTTATGGGAAACTAATCCAAAAACCTAAAGAATTAAGTCTTTTCCAAATCGGATATCTGTAAGAAAAGTTATGGAATTAAATGTGCTGGTATTGGTTCACTTTTCTGCAAACATTTTTTTTTAATTTAAATTTCATTAAATCGCTTAGAAAATCTACAGAAAATCCAAGAGTGAAATTTGAATGCAGAATCGTAGATTACTAATCCACAAACATTAGGAGGTATGCCTTTTTAAAATCGGATATCTGAGAGAAAAGTTATGCAATTAAAGGAACTGGGTTGAAGTCATTTTTCGACAAACATCCATTTTTGGGAAAAATTGAAAGGGGTACCATCATCAAAATTTCAAAAAAATCGACCAGAAATTACAAGCCAACATTTAAACGCAGATTTATGGGAAACTAATCCAAAAACCTAAAGAATTAAGTCTTTTCCAAATCGGATATCTGTAAGAAAAGTTATGGAATTAAATGTGCTGGTATTGGTTCACTTTTCTGCAAACATTTTTTTAAAATTTAAATTTCATTAAATCGCTTAGAAAATCTACAGAAAATTCAAGAGTGAAATTTGAATGCAGAATCGTAGATTCCTAATCCACAAACCTTAGGAGGTATGCCTTTTTAAAATCGGATATCTGAGAGAAAAGTTATGCAATTAAAGGAACTGGGTTGAGGTCAGTTTTGGACAAACATCCATTTTTGGGAAAAATTGTAAGGGGTACCATCATCAAAATTTCAAAAAAATCGACCCGAAATTACAAGCCAACATTTAAACGCAGATTCATGGAAAACTAATCCAATTTTATTAATTGTTTTCAAATAAATTGCGTGATTTAATATATAAATATTTTAGTTATTGAAATTAAACCTATTTGTTTAAAACTTAAAAAAATATTTCTGATATTACAATAAATTTAAAAAAATTAAATTTAAAAAAACTGTTATGTTTGCATATTTACTATAAATTAACTATGTATGAAATATTGAATATTAAAATATTTATATTAATAAGGAATATATATAATATATAAAATTTATCCTTGTTGCTGCAGATGCATATAGGTTTTTTCTGAAAAAGTATTTAAATTGATTATGAAATACTTAAATTTACTACGTTACCTATTTGCTATAAATTTAAACAAAATATTTTTTAGAAATTAGAAATCTAATCCGAAAGTAGATTTACATTGAAAATAAAAATATTTGAATTAATGAAGAATATGTATCTTTTAAAAATGGTTTGTGTACTAACCTTGATTATTCGCTTTAATTGCAGATAACATATTCGGAAAGTGCATTCCAACCACCGGTGTGGACGTTGAGGACATTGAGAAGTAATTACCTTGATTTAGTTCATAGTTAAACCCATATTAATTGGATTTACCCTTTCTCAAAAGGACACCACTCACAGAGGAGCAGTCCCGTGTGCTGGCCACCATGCTGGAGGAACTCCAGGGCGCCGGCTTAGGATGGGACCATCCGTACGTGCAGTGCCGCATCCAGGGGTCGCTCTTCTCGCTCCAACGGCAACAACAACTGCCGCCTAATCTGTGTGCGAATCTGGCGCCGGCTCCGCCGGAATTCGGGGATCCGGCCAGTGCGATGGCCTACGTGCGCTTCACGCCGCCAGAAGCGGAACCGGAAATCGAGTACTACGAGCAGCTCTATCCGGTGCTGCAGAAGAAGCAGAATGCGGATGTGGATGACATGTATCTCAATCGAATGCTGCAAGATCGTCGCAGGCTAAGGCATGATCCCTCTGAACTGGAGCACTTTGGCAAGCTGGACGGGCATGGTCATGTGGGTCCCCAAGTGGATGCACCCAGCATAATGGACACCTTTTTGGACACCGAAAGGCAGAGGATCGAACGGGAACAGCAGATGGCGGCGGCGGAGCAAGATGCCGATCGCCGGAATAGGTTGGAACTATACCAAATTCTGGCCGCCTCTGAGCCCGATCCTCAGCCCTACCAAAGGAAACAGCCAGCGAATGCCATGGATCAACTGGAGGCCATTGTGGAGCAGCAGAAGGAGCAGCAGCAGAAGGAGCAGCGGCAGCAACAGGAGCAGCAGGAGGCCAAGGCGCCGGTCTATGTGCCACCGGAGGAGGTGAACGAGTCGAGTGAACTCTACTTCCCGGACAACTTTGCCCCCTTCAAAAGAGCAAGGGGTCGCTTCAGGGGCGAATTGGCCCGGGAAGTGGAGGATGAGCCACCCAAACGTTCCTTCTTCCGGGAACTGGCCGGTGAACAGGGCTTGGAGCAGGAGAAGCCTCTGAGGCACTTGGCAGCCCCTGCTGAATCCTCACCAGACCTGGCCAAGCGTCGTCCCCAGCCGGATGCCTACGATGTGGGCCTGCAGCAGCGGGAGCTGGCCTTCGAGTCGGGTTTGCTGAGGAACTCGCTAACCCCTCTCGAGGAGGAGGCCATGCTGGCCTCCAACAGTTTCCCGCGCCAGTCCAAAAGCCAGCGCGTTTACACCGAGGGCGGACTGCTCCTGATGCCGCAGGACAATGACCAGGACAACGAGGACATGCAGGCCGATGAGCCGGAGAGTGTGAAGCAATCGTTGCTGGCCAATATGCTGGGTTTTGCCAGGCACGAGCGTCTGGACGTGAAGAAACCAGGTCCTTTGCTGGGACCTCCAGCCACGGGCTCCGCCGAGATGCAATCCAATCAGCTGGAGACGGACAAACTGGCACGCAGTGGCAACAAGGAGGTCCTGCCCGCCCACATCAAGGGCAATGGCAATGGCAATGGCAACTCCGACGAGGATGAGGCTCACAAGAAGAAGAAGGTCATGAAGCAGCAGCACTCGGCCGAGGACCATGCGCCGCACACCGTTGACACTGAATATGTGCATGTGTTCGTCAAGAACCCGTAAGTACTCTAATTACAAAATAAAATAGTCAATATAAATTTCTAAAAATGCAATCAAAATCGCATATTTAATATTCATTTTAAATGTTTAATTATATTATTAAATATAATTCAGTATATTTTATTTTATTTACAAATTTTTTGGTGATAGGGTGTCACAGTAAAGTAAGAAAAAGAGAACATTTTATATAAGTAAAAATTGTTTGACGCTATAATATCTAATTTTACTATTATAATATGACTTTTATTTTTGAAAATATATTTTTTTCTCATATATACAATATGGTTACTTTTGGAGGTTACTTAAACTTGTTTGATATAATAAATGTCTAATTTGGATATTTTAAAATCAAAATACTACCCAAAATTGTAGGAAAAATCAATAAAAAATCATCATACCCCAGAAATATTTTTGATGAATTAATGATTTATTTATTGCTTGCAGAATTGACAGTTGGAACGATGGGCAGCGCATAATGAAGGAGCTGGAGCAAATACTACACATGCAGGGATACTTTTCTTATTTAACGTGGGTTCTTTTTCAATATTTTACCTAAAAAAGGAGCTAACTTTGACCTTTTAAAACCCATTTGCAGCGTTCAACAACACGAAGTCAGCTTCCGGGTGAACTCAAACAACCCCGAGCGCAAGACGGCCGGCGATGTGGCACGAACGATCAACGAGAACCGCGGCGTGAAGAACAACATCCAGAGGCGCGTTGGGTTCTATGTGCTGCATGCCGGCGTGGGTGACGTCATCAAGGACCTGCAGGACCCTAGTGTTTCCTCCTCGCGTATCGAACTGGCCGAACAGGGACCGGATGTCACTCACATCATGGCTTACATGTTCGCCGGTGCCGGAGCAGCCGCCGTGATTGTGATCTTTGTCACTTTAATTCTGATCAAGCGGCACGATCGCAAGCGGGACAAGCTGGGCGGTCTGCAGTCGGGCATCGCGGGTGCGGAAACCTGCAGCAAGGACTACCAGGAGCTGTGCCGCGCCAGGATGGCAGGAAAAACCACCAACGGCAGCGGTGGCAATGCCGCGAGCGGAACTACCAACGGCGGTGGCTCAAACGAACCGGCGCAAAGTGGACGGATCACATCGCTGAGCAAGGAGAACGAGGGTCGACCACCGTCCTCGCGATCCAGCACTTCGTCCTGGAGCGAGGAGCCCGCCTTGACGAACATGGACATCTCTACCGGACACATGGTGCTGGTGAGTCATGAAGGGCTTTGTGTGGAACATTTATAGAGTCGATCTTCCATTGCTAAAAAAATATTAACAATACTTTTTTGCATATCGAAAGTTAAACGGATATTTTATTAATATAAATGTTATAAATATAAAGCTATAGAATTATTTTTAAATCTTTCTAAATTCAGCTTGAATTCCCTGTTGGTTTATGGGTAAAATTACAATCTTAGTAATGTACGACATCCCAATTTTGATATAATATTGGCTTTTTTATATCCATAATACTTTTATTTTTGAGCTAAGACTAAGACTTTTTGCAAGATTGCAACTTTGGAAAAAAAAACAGATTTTGTTAGTCATTTTTAGTGTTTATTTTGTCAAACGCTGTCCCACAATGGAAGTAAAGACTGTTTTGTGCAGCTGACGAGCTAAACTAACGATCCTTACCACTTTCCGACTGATTTTGAAAAATAAAATTTTTGGTAAAAATTCGAAAATATAAAAATTTTTAGGCTTGAATGCCAGTTGTTTAGGTATAAAATTACGAGCTCAAAAAGGTATAACATTTGTCATTCGGTCTATTTTTAGCATTTTTATGAAACTTTTTTTAATTTTACTAACTGAAAATTAAGAATTTTGGGTTGTATAAAGAGTTTTGACAAAATACAAAATTTTCCTTGGCCACATTTTGAATTTGGGGATGATAGATAATTTATAAAAATTATTATTCCCAAGTATTTGTTCGCATATTTCTATTTTAAAAGAAATAATTCAATGTTACTCTAAGTCTTCCTGTTTTTGTTGGAAGTGTGTGGCTTAAGTAATGGCAGATCGACATTATTTTAAAACCCATGGGCTGATATATATAGTTAATGATAATTATTTCTAATTTAGTCTTACATGGAGGATCATCTGCGCAACAAGGGTCGATTGCAGCGAGAATGGGAGGCTCTGTGCCGGTATGAGGCCGAGCCCAGTGCTCGGGAAGCCGCCTCCCAGCCGCAATGTGCGGGTCTCAATAGACCCGGGGCACCCTTGCCATACGACCATTCCCGCGTGGTGCTCAACCATCTGGCCAACGCCGAAGGACTCGACTATGTTAATGCCTCAACGATTGTAAGTTGGCATACATTTTATTTTTAAATAAATATTTCAAAGGCTATAATCCATTTCACACTTAAAGACCGATCACGATCCACGAGCACCTGCTTATGTGGCCGCCCAGGGTCCATTACCATCCACTTTGGCCCACTTTTGGCAGATGATCTGGGAGCAGGGAGCCGTTGTCATCGTGGCCCTCTGTCGCCTCCAGGAAAATGGCGAGGTGGCCTGTGCGCGATACTGGCCGGAAGAAGGTGCCGAGGTCTATCACATCTATGAGGTAAAATCATTGGAGAGGCATCCAAATTGGGGATAAAATGTAATTAAATAATTCTTTTTTCAGGTTCACCTTGTTAGTGAACACATATGGTGCGATGATTACCTCGTACGTTCTTTCTACCTGAAGAATTTGCGCACCAGCGAAACCAGAACGGTCACCCAGTTCCACTTCCTCTCCTGGCCGCACATGGGTGTTCCTTCCCAGGCCAAGGCTCTGCTCGACTTTAGGCGGTAAGTCCCTGTATCCTGTAAAAACAAAAAATTATTTAGAAAATGAATATCTTTATACCACACAATTTTAGATTCTGAAATAAACAAAGTGCTGAAACAAATACATAAAAAATTATAATTTAATAGAGTATTTCTATTTTTAAAATCTAAAATTAACAGAGTGTTAAAAGAAGCACATAATAAATTCTATTTAACAGAGTTTGAAAACAAATACATAATAAATAAAATATACAAATTATATAATTAAAGGAAATACCATATTACAGAAAAACAATTTACTTAATTTAATTTTTAGTTTTTGGAATGATTTATTTTTTTGAAAATACATAATGAGGAATAACAAAAACCCCAGCTAACCAATGTTTTACCCAAAGTAAGACCTCTTTAACTTTAAGTAAAGATTTTAAAAATGCTTTAAAAATCCTTAAGGCTTACTTTTAACTGTTAAGTGTTTCCCATAATTTTTGACATGACTTATACGTTATAAGTTATTGTGAAATTTTTTTTTAAATAGGGCCATTTAATAGTTTGGACTTTTTTTTAATTTTAATTACCCACACTTTTTTTATTTTAAGCACTAAGCTGATTAAATGTTTATTTTAAATGTTTACTTACTCAAAATTAGCTATTAAAACCATTTAAGTTGTTTAACGAAGGAAGCTAGTGAAATGTGCTTACCCATTTTTAGAGCGGTTCTTAATATTTTCCCAATTTCTATATCTCTCTTAGGAAGGTGAACAAATCGTACCGGGGACGTCGCTCCTGCCCTATTGTGGTGCACGGCAGTGCCGGAGCCGGTCGGACGGGAGCCTACATCCTGTTGGATCTGGTGCTGGAGAGGATGAACAAAGGGGCGCGCGAGATCGACATAGCGGCTACGCTGGAGCACCTGCGTGACCAGCGGGCAGGTGTGGTGGCCACCCGGCAGCAGTTCGAGTTCGTTCTGATGGCGGTGGCCGAAGAGGTGCATGCCATACTGAAGGCCCTGCCAGCGAACACTTCCGGAGAGAAGCGGGAACTGGACAAGGATCCAGTGGTGGCGGGCAATAGTGGTGGCACCACTTCCACCAAGGAGCCACTGAAGGAGGACAAGGCGCAGGAGGCGGCCGAGGAGGAGGCGCCCACCAGCAGTTCCAAGGCAGCCAAGGAGCGGCAGGAGAAGAAGGCCAAGGATCAGTCCAAGGAGCAGTCAAAGGATCAGCCCAAGGATCAGCCGAAGGAGCAGAAGACGCCAGCCAAGCCGGCGAAGCAGGCGAAGAAGTAAACCAACCCATACAAAATCCCGGGTTGAAGGTTAAGCCTCAGGTTTTATGATTGTTGCAGCGTTTCGGGGGTCTTTCTGTTTGTTATAGCTGGTAGAAGCAACATTAAGTTCGATTTTGAGTTGGCATGAGCACTTGGAAGGTTCGAAAAAGGCCACACGAGATTGTCAGTAGACGGATTTAATATTATATTATCTTTCGGTTACATCTACACCGCGCCAAATAAGCACAGGTTGCATTGGAATGTGGAAGTCCTCTATGACTTTGATATGCTGCCCCGGTCTGCACCAGCCCGTGAGACCCGGGGTGCATCCGGCCGGAGGAATGGCATTCCAGATGTGACCAAGTGCGGTGCAAACAACTATAGAAACGCACGATATATATATATATACTATATATAGCATATTTGAGTGTTAAAGGATATACAAGCAAACAAATATTTACATGCATACCTTATACTTACATATACATGTCTAGGTGTTTAAGCATTGGATTCAATTATGAGGCATTTTACTTACTCGTCGTACATTTATCGATATCGATGTTGGCATTAAACTTAAAAACTCTAATCGATGTGCTTAAAAAACCAGCAAACGAACGACAACAATCGCTGAAAGGTATACATATGCCAAGCCAGACAGAACAGTAAACTAGACACTGGAACACTTAGACACTAGAATACTAGCAGACTAGAACATCAGACATCACCAACCCACTTCTAAATACATATACAAAAATACATATACAATGGATGAATGCAAAATTTGTACCTAACAAAAGTTCTATTTACAACATGAAAGTGAAGAAGAAAGTTTAGCGAGGAAGCAACCTATTGATGTGTATGACAATTAATTATACAAGGATATAATCGCATTCAAAAATATATTTGTATACACCATATATATATATATATATATATATGTCATTAACTATCTAGCCAACATACATACTCGATATTCGAAGTCGAGTATTGTTTTACCAGACCATATGTATGTGTGCGAAATTCAAGAAATTGTTCAGTTATCAATCGCTCCTAAAACGTAAGCTACACTTTTTACCCTTCGCAGAGCTATAATTATACTACATTATATTATTATATTATATTATTATATATATTATATCATATTTATCCACTTTAGAACGTAAGCGTAGCTTAAGTGAATCCATAAATGTCAGAGGAACCGTGCCGAAGCTCCAACCTCTGCCGGCTAATCTGTCTCCTTCGGTTTCGAACTCATGATCTAGATCATCTACTTCATCAAAAACTGAGGCAGCTAGAAGCCAAGGAGCAGATTGGATTACTGGGAGCAGTGGGAGCTTCGTGTGCGGTTAATAGTATGTGCCACAACAAGCTTCGAACATCAAAGAAGAGAAAAAAATTAAAAAGCCCAAAAAAAAAAAAAAATATTGGACTAAGGAGCATGTCCCATAAATGTTTCCTTAGCCATCTGGAATAACATCACCAGAAAAAAAAATATCCCTACTCCAGGCACGACTTAGAACGAATTAAAGGACAAACAGGAATCGAACCACGCAAAAAGTAACTAAAGAATCACACGGTACAATACACACACTATACAAAACACAACCCAAGACAAACGGCCACAAAGATACAGTGACTACTAGCGCTTAGTGAACACCGAAAACCGAACCGATTTAGAACAAACGATTAGAAAAAATACGAAAAACACAAAAAATACAAAACGAAATAAGCTCAGAATTGAGGAGAACGTAAGTGCAAGTGCTGCAAATTAGCAAAGAAATATTCAAAAAAATTACCAATTAATTACCATACTTAACAGTTTTACGTAGCAGTTGAACTTAAACATAATGAAAATGAGTTATCGTAGTTCGAAATATTCCAAGACGACAAAGATAAGATACATTTCAGCTAAATTTAAGCGACAAAAAACAAAAAACGAAAAATGAAAATTTATTATCTCGACGCAAAACTTATAATTTGTAAACATTTCCTTCGTTTGAACATAACTGACACTACACTACAAAATAAAAGCAAATGAGAAATCAATATTACAATAACTGTGGCAAGTCCGAACAACAACTCGGGGCTTGCAAAAAAATTATTAAAGTGGTAGAAAAAAAAAAACAAAACAAATATGAGAATAGTTAAACATAATTGTTTTAGAGCAAAATATTTAGTAGTGAGTTTTTCGATTGATTTACGAGTACTTGAAGCAACGTTTTTCAAAGTTAATTAAAGAATACATACAAATACAACTACGACAATTTCAATTCAAATGTTCTTCGACGAAACAAATTAAATAAGTGTACTAACAAGCAAACGTAAATGTATCGTATTATAGTCAATCGCATTATAAAGGCAATTATTGATGTATATTTCGACATAACCATAAACATAAAAGTGTTAACGATTAACGAGGAAGAAACAACAACCATGCGTAGAAAAATTGAAGGAACTTAATTATAATAAATAACTTACTATAAAGATAATGCATAAATGTCTAACGGACTTTTTCATTCATAAATAAATATATATATATTGATATATGTATATATATATATAAAATCGTACCTATTGCGTGTATAAAAGAAATACACACAAGTCAAGCATTTCATCATTTTCCCGAAAAATATTTTCATTGATGGTGTAACATAGATATACAAAATTATTATTTGTAAGGCAAAAGGAGAAGCAGAAAAAGAATAAATCGAATCTGACAGATTCCGCAGATTGAGACAAATGGGACCTGTTCTTGCACTTGACTTTTAACTTTTCACAAAAAACGGGGCAGATCAGGTTGTTACCAGGGCACTGGGATTCTTAAGAGATGAGGACATGACCGACTGACGCCAAGAACCCAGAACGAGGCATACAAAATGGTTTGAGTTCCTAAAGAAACATAACCCTGACCATCACTTAAAATGAACCGATGAAAAACCCCCAAGAACAGGCTGTATATACGCACATTTAACTCCGGACTAGCAGCTAATCCTGACCTTTAACCTTTGACCTACCAAGACAGATACTGTTACAGAAAACTGACCGATCGGACGGAATTTAATGTAAGGCCTACACAATGAGATTTTACGGAATAAATTAGGATGATCAAAGTGCGGCGCAACTTCATGAACTGTTTCCACAAAAGTTAAAAATCAAGTGATTATAACAGGATTTCAAGACACTAAACTAACTTATCAAACAGGCAACCAAACTTGAAATCTCAATGCCACATAATGTTTCTTTCTTTTTGCAGAAGGATTGAGTTTGGTAACCGCGAATGATAATATACAAATACAAATAAATACAAAGAAACACTATATACAGGCACCAAAAATGTGGAAAATATTTGAAGCATTGATCAGCATGCAATTCTTGCTGTCTAATTCAATTAATTAACGTGTAAGCAAATTAAAAAAAAATTAAAACAAATAATACGAGCAGGCTTTCATACATTTTTGGAAAACCAAAATCAAGTATCTGATTAAGTGAGGCGTTTAGCAGATAAGCGAAACATTTAACAATATCGATGTGTATACAATATGCTACATATATATCTGTTTAGCCACTGGGCAAAGATTTGTGTTATTAAGCAAAAATGATGACGAAAAAACAAAAATGAGAAAACCCCAAAAAAAAGGTAAAAACCAGCAAAAAATTATGCTGGCTGAGGCCACTAATATCTAAATGTACTAAAACTGATAAAAAAGCGAAAATGTTAATATCAAGCTAATTATAATAATGAAATACACCGAACAACTACACTCGAAGAAAAGAACATGGAGCATACCTATTAAAGGTTTTTTGTGCAAAACTAATTAATATATGCAATTTAAGTGTTTTAAACATACATATAACATTAAACATGCTACAATTATTTATGAGAATTACATAGCAACATGTATACCTACATATATATAAATCTATATATATAAATGTTATTAACCAATTTGAATTTATGATGAAGAACGGAGAAGGATATGCATACCAATATCTAAATGTATCGCGCCATTGTGTAATATGCGCTACAAATACAAGTTGAAAATCACAAAACAAAAACATATTATATTCTGCTGCATGTGTAAATTATATAAATGTAAATTAAAAGATACCAGAAAAACAGAAACACAGAAAAAATGCGAACAATTTTCGATGATAAACAGCAAGCAGAAAAGAATAAGGACGATGATGACGATGTAGAACCGGTAATAATTACGATTAATATTATAATACGAACAACAAAAATAATAAAGAGACCCTTAAAGAAAACGGAGCCTACCATATACCCATATACTATGAAACGAAAAAGGCATTAGCCAGAAATTAGCCAATGCCGAGCGTAAAGTTTTGCTTTTTGCCCCCCATCCCCCATACCCAGTGTTCACTGTCTGTGTCTAAGATAAGAGTATAACCAAAAAGCTTCGGCGCCAAAATAGCATATCTGTCAATAGAGGCCAACTTGGCTCTAAACATCACTGTAACGAAACACCAATCACAACAACTTAACAGTCTACCAAGGTACTGTAACTAACAATAATCTGTAGAGTTGCTTATCGGAAATAATACTATATAATACTATATAGAGTTTAATCTAACCATAGAACACCTAGCATACTTAGCACACTTGCACGCTTTCCCACGCAGTCCCTTTTAACACGCATGATTTAAGCCATTTAATCCACATTTCTTTCAATTCAACTCAATTTAATTCAGTATAATTAAATTATTTATTCATTTACTTATAGATTTTTGAAATAGTAGCATGATTCCCCCCCGCCCTCTCCAATAATATAATTCAGAGACTATTTTAAATCGAAAACACAAAAGCGGTACTTGTATGTCTGAATACAACAGAGAATACAACAAATTAAGGTACTTCGTAAAACGGTTGTTTATAGATTATAGTTAAATTCCAATTTGAATGCAAATTTAAAAATCACCCAAAGCTTCCAAGCAGGGATAGGGGTTAAAGCCCAGAGCACCCATAAATTAAATTAATACGTGCAAGCGCTTTTTTCATTAAAATTTTTCCTTGTAGTTAAAGAAAAAAAAAGCTAGGTAAGCATTTTTCGATTTGAAGCGAGAGAAAAGTAAGTAAATAATCGGGTTTAATGCACTGCAAGAAACTAGTTTTTTGTCTCCTTGAGGAAGAGACTAAGCTACTGCTAAGCTAATTGCAATATTTAATCGAATAATCACAACACTTACATTAAATGTTACACGTGCAGATATATTTAATACACACAAGCTTGTTCAATGACCCCAGAGACAAAAAAAAATAATAACTAAAATTTTTGGTCCCCTAAAAGGACATTGGCTCCTAAGCCACTTAAATTACAGTGTCTATTAAAATAATCACAATTTAGTCACACAAAAAATAATTATATATTATTCAAAAATCCAAATGCAGGCGGGTTTTTTAGAGAATTTCTTAAAACGTAATTTGTTGCACTGGAAGAAAAACACTTTTTTCGTCTCATTAGAGGCTTGGCTTTTAAGCTAGATAAAAAATGAAACTACACAAAAAAAGTTAAGTGTAATGAGGTATTTTTTTGAACTCTCAAGAGGATACATTTTAGGCCGTAATAGATAGCGGGTTTTTCTGACAGTGATCGTCCAAAACCATCCAAGGGAAATGCACTGAAAGAATTTTTTTCGTCTCACGACTTGGCTTTTAAGCTTTTCGAATTACCAAACTAAATAACCACAAATTAAAACACACTGAAAATGTGCAATGTTATACTCATACATACTCAAAATGTTTATTCTATGTGTGTTGTTAAAGCAAGCATTAAAAAACCAAAAAAAAAATTAGAAAGAGGCAACTCTAAAATCAAGATAGTTTTATTTGTGTGTGGTAAAGCAAACATATAAACTCCTGGGGCAACCTACCCCAAAATGAAACCTAAATGAGCCCCGACCTAGACTAACACTGCCCCCAAACTAGTAGACAAAAAAACATTAGAAGCACGATTTTGTTATATATTTTTTATTTTTTTTTGGCTTGAATTCCACCCCTTTTTTTCTAGCGATTTCCCCCTTTTTGCAGTTTGCCGAAACGAAGCCAGAACAATGGCCAGCCCAGCGAAATAGAATAAAATCGGGTCACAGCCAATTTTATACGCCGGCAGACGAGAGAGCAGCGAAAAAAAAGGTGGTTCGGTGGTGCGTACATGGTACATGGTATATGGGCTCTTTCGCTGAGTTTTCGTTTTCGATTTCATTCACTTTTTGGCACACCACAACATCATCAGCCTGCCAGCCAGACAGTCAGCCAGCCAGCCGGCCAAACAGCAACTTGCGACGTATTTCTGTTCGCCTGGTAGAAATGTCGGAACATTTCTTTGAAATGCCGCAATGAAAAGGGAAAAAAACATAATGAAATGAAAAAAGCCGCCGTGGCAAGCGCTTTGATGATTTTCCGCTTGTGCCGCCGCCACTACCACTCTACCACTATGCCACTTTTGGTACCATCCGCTTCCTCCGCTCTTGATGATGATGTTTGCGGGTTTGCCGGTGTTTGGCCATGGCGGGCATATCAATTTAGGGGAGTGGCATGCGTGACGCTTAAGCGAACGAGATTATAGACTCCTATCCCCTGCCGATCCCTATTCCCATTCCCATTCCCATCCCTATACCTATACCCATACCGATTTCGAGTCCAATCCACTTCCCTCTCCGCCTTCTGATATTGCTGTTTGGCTGGGCAAAAGGCGGCGTTTCCTTTTGTTGTCAGCGCTCAGTTTTCAGTGCAATTGGGCGTTGCCTAACAGTAACAGGAGCAAGGAGCAGGCGCAGGAGCAGGAGCAGGGTCACCATGATGGCTATATGGCCTCAGCCACAGCCACAACCCCATCCTCAGAAAAAAAACCTCATCCACAACCGCATACTGGTAGTCGACGCTGGCTTGCAGCCGTTGGTTTAATGAAAACAACAATCTAAGAGCCATTACGTGGACCGCCCTGTGTTGGCCCCAGGCTAATATGCTGAATTAACCCATTTTTACGCAAGGCCAGAAAGTGTGGGAATTTTATGATATTTACTTATTTGTAGGTACCCCAAATAAAATAGAGTAAAGGTTGGGAAAAAATAAAATTAAATAGATAGACTAATTAGTTCTAAACATAAAGTTAACATATATCATGCATTTTTAAGTAAATAATTTATAATTTTATTTCTTATGTAAATTATCAAATTTTATGAAAGGTTTTATAAAGTACTGTTTATTTTATGTATTGGTGTGGTACAAATTTGTCCAATTACACTATTGCTTTTCTAAAAACCCAAAAAAAAGAACCTAAAACATAATTTTAAGACCTCTGGCTTAAATGGGTTAAAGCCATTGCAGTTTGGACATTTATCACTTACAGACTTTTACTGCATACAAAAATCAATACGTTGTAATGGCCCAAGACTACAAAATTGCATACCAGGTGCACATGAAATTAGCTTTTACAGGCATCTTTATTTTCTGAGCACTTTACTAATTTTATATTATATATTATTTATATTTTATATTATAATATTTAAGTTACTAAATTAAAGATGAAATTTTAATTGTGGCCAGTGCTGCCCATTTCATTAAAGACTACTCCCAAAAGGTTTGAGTACACGGAAGATATATGAGATTCGACAGATACTTTACATGAGTTTCTACAGTTAGTCTACATGCAACCTTACATATACTGTACAGAGTGCGGCGAAAAGAGCCTTGCCATATACTTTACATACTCTACACAGAAACGGCGAATAAAAGCAATTTTGCTTTTAGGCAGGAATTTGCTAATTGAAGTTTCTACAATACCTAAGATAAAATTTAAAAATCTTTAAATAAATAAAATGATCTAGTAATAATAATCAATTACACATCTCAGCCAAGAATTTATTCTGTCAGTCTGGCCAATAATTAATTTACAAAGATTTATTTTAAGTAATAGGCGACCCTTACTGGTTTTATGAACCAAATCTAGATGGCGCCTTTTTAAGATGCGTTAATGATGACCGAACAATATTAAAAACTGATTTGGGGTTTTAATGTTAAGATCACAAGTTAAAATGTTGATTTAAAACTGGCATAATTAATTGTTTTCAAATTAAACAAATACGTTTTCTTTGCAAGCTGATTTCCTTTAAGTTATACCAACACTACAAAAGAAAAGTTTACACTACAAAATATGTTGTTTATCAATTTGCATATTTAAGGGGTTAAATTGAATGACCCAGCTATATATATATATATTTTCTCAAAAGATTGATCGGCCCTAAACAAAAGATATTAATTAGTTAGCAAGACACAATCATTGCTATCTCTTCATTTCCCGCCTTTAAATCATTTAACTTTAGAATAAATTCGTAATAATTCTTTATAATTGAACCATATAGCGGAAAATTCACTAGTGTGAAAAGAAAAATTAAATTAATTCTCAGAATTGAATAAATTACGCGAATTATGTAACAGGCGAACAGAAATCGCTGGCGTGCAGGAGCAGAAAAAGAAGCGAAGGCAGCTGGGAAAACCGCTTAGGAGCACTCACATTCACATTCTCTTCAACACACTTTCACACACGCACACACACACAAACACACATTCGCCCCGGGAAATGCTTTTCCCCCCAAAAAGTCAAAAAGTATTAAGTACGTGGAAGAAGCAGCAGTAGCAGCAGAAGCAGCAGCCGGCATACACTCGAGAAAAGCGGAAAATCGGAACATCGGAAAAGCGGAGTGAGAAAGAGAGCAACCATCGAGCGGGCCATAAAACATTTTCACAAATTTTCCAACGCTGGCGAGGGGTGGCTTCTCAAAGGGGGTTGCAAATGGATGTCACACTATCGGAAAATGCCCAGAGAAACAGAGGGAGATGGGAATAGAGATGTGTGTGTGGACAATCATCAAAGGTTTGCCGCAGCGGCTTTTCCGCCTTTGTGGCAAATCCTCAAAGGAATTTTCCGATATTTGTAGCAGGCAACCAGCAGCCAGCAGCAGGAAAACTTGACCAAAGAAAAACCAACCACACACTCACACACACACCGCCGACATCGAATTTTCCGACGTTTTCGTTTATATATTTTTCTTTTTCTGCTTTTTTTTTCGCTCGGCCAGAGAAAATTCGCTTTTCATATGTGGCTGACTTTCAAACGCAAACAAACACCGGCACACGTAACTTATCGATGGGAAGCTGCTGCTGGCGGGCTGGCGTCGATCCATTTGGCGAGCGATTTATGTGAGCTTTTCATTTTCCCCCGCCTTTTCCCCACCATTTTTCCACCGTC